TCAATAACCTGCACTGGGTGAACTGGGTTGTGTGGATTTCACTTCTATAGTGGTACCACAATGCTACCAGTGATACTGCTGTCCATCTCTACTACTAATAAGGGTCACACTCATAGGTGACAATGGACTATTTCGTGCATAGTGTTAACAAGAATGACTCTTCGACTTAATTACTGGGTAGTGACACACGATTTTTAAAAATATATCTAGATGATGTTCTGTTATGGATTTTGAAATGCTTTAATTTGCCAAAAGTCCAAGCTTATGCATACATGTAAAATTTTATGTATCCAAAACAATGTCCTTTTACCCAATGGGTTCCTTTTTCATGTGTATTCCTAGTATTCCTGTGTTTTAGCCAAACATAAAATAGTATTTGGTACAAGTAAAATATAGGGTTGTGAGACAGAAAATTTTTATTTTATCTCCAATTCTATAATATTTTTTTGACATGCAGAGTTAGAGAGAGAGAGACAGAGAGAGAGACAGAGACAGAGAGAAAGGTCTTCCTTTTTCCGTTGGTTCACCCCCCAGTGGCCGATGCTGCCGGCGCACCACGCAGATCCAAAGCCAGGAGGCAGGTACTTCTCCTGGTCTCCCATGTGGGTGCAGGGCCCAAGTTTTGGGCCATCCTCCTCTGCACTCCCGGGCCACAAGTGTGAATTCAGATAAGTCAGCTAACCCCTCTATACCTTCACTTTGACCGGCATGAAAATGTGTTCTCTGTTTGTCTCCAGAGGCAGGAACAGGACATGAGACATGAAAGCATTGCATGCCCTTCTGAGTAAGTATAGAAACTCAAGGTACAGCCGAGCCTGCCTGTGGAACCCTAGTTTTAGTGTATGCCAAAGTCAGTGTTTTTGGTGCCAGGAACTTCACACCTCCTCTCCTGCAGTAACTAAGAGAGGAAACTCATGTCATGTGTGCAGAGAGAAGGGTATCTTCCTTTAGCGACACTGTGCCTAACCTTCCCAACCAGCGTGGGGCTTGGTGTATAGTCACAGGCCCAGATTTGAGTTGCCATGAAGCCAGGGTCTCGAATGCAGAGTAGGGAGGCTGGAAGTTCTCGTACATGGCCGTCCTACCAAGCACTCGGCTGCTGCTCGCGAGTAGCAGCTTCCCCTGAGGCTCTGCGAATGCCGGGGAAACTGCTCAGCCATGTGCATTTGCTGGCGAGCATAGCACCAGGCATACGGTCAGTTTGAATGGTGTTGGGAATGCTCCGAAAGGCTTTAGAATTTCAAAGCATAGTTGGTTTTATTATTATTGTATCAAGCAATCAGCCAATACCTTCAACCCCTGCAACGGGTGCTGTCATAGATAAAACGAGGTAAGAGGGATTGCTGTCCCCCAGTGATAGAGATTAGGTAGACAGGGCAAACATACAACACAGCACTACACATTATTGTCATGAATGGTGGCAAGAATAATTAAAATCTAAGAAAGAAGAGCATGCGCTGTAACAGGCGAGGAGGGCCTCACAGAGAAGATGGAGCTGGAACTGAATCTTGAAGATCTGATTTGCTTTGACTAGGTAGGGGAAAGTTGAGAAGCAAATCTTTTTCTGCGAATATTCAAAGGTAGGCAAGAATCAGTTAATCAGTTTGGCAAGATTGGTTAGGAGAATTGTTATTTAGTCATATATTTAACAACATTCAGAGAATATTTACTGCAAGGTAAGAGCTGAATGTGACTTAATGATTAGGATAGACCAAGTGAGGCCAGCCGTTGTGGCGCAGTCTGCAACACTGGCATCCCATATGAGCATAGGTTCAAGTCCCGGCTGCTCTACTTCCAATCTAGCTCCCTGCTAATGTGCCTGGGAAGGCAGAAGAGGATGGCCCAAGTGCTTGGGCCCCTGCACCCACATGGAAGACCCAGAAAAACTCCCAGCTCCTGGCTTCAGCCTAGCCCAGCCTCAGCTGTTGCAGCCATTTGGAGGGTGAACCAGTGGATTGAAGATCTCTTTCTTCATCTTTCCCTCTCTTTCTGTAACTATGCCTTTCCAATAAGTAAATAAATAATCTTTTTTTAAAAGACCAAGTTCTTGGCCCTCTTAGAGTTAACCTGGTAGTTTGGAAGGTAGCCAATAATTCAGTAAGACAATTTTTTGTCATTAAATGAGTAATTCTAGAATGTATAGGCAGGGATAGCTTCATAGAGAAGTTGGAACTTTATCTTGGAGTCTGAATTGATTTTTAGGAAGTAGAAAAGAATTAGGAAGCAATAAAAACAAGGTGCTGTGTTCTGCTCAAGGAAGTGCAGAAACCTAGATGATGCCCTGGCAATGGTCACTCTAAGAGCAGATGCTTACATTGAAATCTGACAAATAACAAGGTCAGGGCTCTCAAAGAGTCAAGGAGAAGCATGTTCCAGGCAAAATGAAGACAACATAAGAAAACCCTAAGAAGTGAAAAATTTAGCATATTTCATATACAAAAAGGAAGGCAGGGGGTTGATTGCACAGAGTCTTAGTGACAACTTTTAAACATTTAATTCTTATCAGAGTACATGTAGAATCCTTGACATCTTAATATTGGAGTATTCAATCAATGATGAGACTAAAAGTTTTGTGAATGATGACTCTTATGTTACCACATAAATGCAATATGTGAGTAAAAGTCAAGGCAGTGAATGTGTTCTTGACCATCCAGTACTTCAAAGAGACAACGCAGGGGCCAGCGTTGTGGCATAGTGGGTAGAGCTGCTGCTTGCAGTGCCGGCATCCCATATGGGCGCCAGTTCAATTCCCAGCTGCTCCACTTCCAATCTAGCTCTCTGCTGTGGCCTGAGAAAGCAGTAGAGGATGGCCCAAATCCTTGGGCCCCTGCACCCATGTGGGTAGAGCTGGAGGAATCTCCTGGCTCCTGACTTTATATGGGCAGCTTCGGCCATTGTGGCCAATTGGTGGATGAATCAGTGGCTGAAAGACCTCTCTCTTTCTCTGCCTCTCCTTCTCTCTCTCTGTAGCTCTTTCAAGTAAATAAATAAGTCTTTTAAAAAAAAAGAATGTATGAGTATACATTTATTCTGAAAAAAATTATGATTTGAGTTATTAGTAAGAACTATTAAGCTTGATGGTGTGAACATTTAAGATAGTTATTTGGTAATATTGAAAAGATTGATAATGTAAAGGATAAACTTTAAATTCAAATTATAATGTATATTTTCAGTATAATAATAGATAACAGAGGTGGTGATAATTCCTAGACTAGATATTGGAAAATGCTCATAATGTAGAAAAAGTCCCTTATTATGATGTTTTGTGATATATGAACATAGGCCTGGTCTCATAGAATACAATCAGATCCACACTGAAGAAACATTTAAAGCCGTTTAGACTGCCAACATCTTAAGCAGGTGACCTTAGGTGGAGAATCAAAGGCAGTGTTTTTAAAAATGATATATGTGAGTGAGTGTGTGTGTGTGCATGTGTATTTGTGTTACAAGTTTTTCGGTCCATCTTGTTGGTCCATGTGCAGAGTGCTGAGTTTAGGGACTGTAATATATTTGCAATGCCTACCACAAAAGCAGATTTTGAGAAATTTAGTAATTGCATGCCCAGTTTATTTACAAAGAGAATTTTCAAAAAATTTAAATGAGAAAATAATTACATTTTTAACATTTTACAAGAAAAAATTCTGAGTACTGTAATCCCTTATGATACTCTCCAAATCATGTGTGAATGCCCTGAAAACTGTAAAGAGAAATTAAAAATTTTCCGGTGGATTCTTCCTTCATACTTTAATTTGTGCTGGGAACACAGCTTCAGAAATTACATGATAATATTTCAACTTTATATTCTTTTATGTAAAACCTTGAAAAGTTTCATGAATTAAACTTTGTGTTGTCACTGGGAAATCACAAGCTGTAATATAATACCTGTAGAATTCTTAGTATGCTTTGTACAGGCCAGACATCGAGTGCTATTTAAAATCCACTTATGCACATAATTAAATAAATATTTGGCCATGCCTGGCATATAGGCACTCTGTAGAAGACTGTAGAGAACTAATACTCTGCCCACTTGGGCCTTATTCAAAATTATATTGAAATGGCTTCTTATTCTCTGACTGTTATCTAGAGTTAGATTGTTCATATCTTTTTACTAAAAGAGAAATCATATTTATCAACATATGCATACACATAGAAAAGTGCAGTGTAAACCTACTCCAAGGTGTTCTAAACTTGTAATATCAAGAATTGTTAGACACACCACTTGTATTCATCTAAACACAGTATAGCCTAACCATGAACCTACTCTGAATGCATTCCATTATGTCCAATGCTTTTTTCAAGGTGAATACAGGCGAATATGTACAGGCATGCTCTTTGCAAGGTGGAGCTGTTTGGGGTTCGGTTGTATTTGGCTGACAGTGGTGTATGTTTCTGTGATGATAGCTGTATTTCTGATGATATCATATGGGAAAGTTAGCATTTATTCTTCCTTAAACATTTTGCTGGTATCTTTAAAGTGTTATAAAACAAGCATCCACTGAGTGCCTAAGCATTTCCCACTTTGTTTCTTTAACTAACATATTGATCTAAGCTGAATCTATAGGATTACGCTTATTGAGACAGACTGCCTGTTGCTCTCTCAAAAGAGCATCGTTGTACTCCACATTTTTTTTTTAGTGAATAAAATATAGACAAAACCGTAACATGCAGAGGCTGAAAATTCCATTAAAGACTGTGGGCAATAATACCTTAAAGACATTTCAAAAATAATTGTGCTTTATTGCCTCTTCTGTGCCATTGCCTATAATGAGAGTTTTTAAAAGACCAAATACAGCTCTGTGATTTCCATTTAATAGAAGAAGTAATAAAGTTTAATTGTATACTTGAGCGTGGGGCGTCATTTCCAGTACCTCTGATCAATAATTCATTGATTGCTTTTGGCTCAGAGTAATATTTGAAAGAGAATGTAGCCAGTGGGAACTTAGCTAACCATGGCTTCGTCATCACTATTAATTACGCTTCTTCCAAATTTGGATCATTAGGCTACCAAAGTGACAGCAGATGGCGAGCAAACCGGACAGGATGCTGAGAGGACCAACACAAGAGCCAAGTCCTTAGAAGAATTCATTAAGGAGCTCGCCCAGGATGCAGAAGGTATTAGAAAAATCACATTTTCATATTATTTCTCCCAACAAAAAAATAGAAAAAGGAATTATATGCGACTGGAATTTCTCTCGCCAGAGATGACATTTCCGAACTCCAAGTTTTAAAAAGTATTTTAGTTAAGACATTCAGGGACACTGTCTGCTGAGAATCTGTAACCTACAAATGGTCAGGGAATTGGTGATTCTAAGGGTAGACCCGCAAGGATTCGTGAGAAATGACTCTCATGGTTAACTATTGGGCAGCTTATGTTTTGCTGTTATTTGTATTCAAGGCTATTTAAAAGATTTCTCATTTAAAAACACTAGATTTGTCATTCCACTCAGCACATTAAAGAAGCGGTTTGACTTCTCAAAGTGGCCTTGGAATGAACTGGCTTTTAATGAACATCATTTGCTTGGCATTTGCGTGTGCTCCTTTACCAGAAGCACAACAATTTAGTCCGCAATTCTCTGGGAGTTCCTTTTTGGCACCTCTCAATATGATTGGGAGTCAAAGAATAAGCCATTTCTGGGCAAAAGCCCAGATTAAGAAACTCTTAAAGAAAACAGCTAACACCCTCCATCCACTACAGTAATAATGAAAATAAAAATTCTTAAATACTTTGTAATATCTAACAAACATACATGCACATTTAGAAAGTAGGAAAAAAGTGGATTTGTGGGGTTTCTCTGCTTTCAAAAATATTTTTATTGCTCCTCAGGGTTCTGCATTTTCAGTATCTTGCTTTGTCATACAGCAAAATAGCGCAGGATGTGGGATGCCTTCAAGGCAGGTCTTCATGGGTAATTCCTGGACATCACAGGGCACAAGGAAACAGAAATTCCTGAAGATCTCCCATGGTGGTAAGAAACAGATGAATCTGAGGCCAGACCTTAAGCAAAGGTGACTTCTACCAGGGAAATCTCAGTGAGCTCCTTGCAGTTGCTGTTATGCCTGAGGAAGGCGGACTTTCCCTGGTATTGGTTTTCATTGATGCTACTTGCAAACATCCCACACCCCTGCAAAACAACAGCAGCAGCAACAACAGCAAAACCCCATTGCAGGCAGGGCTGCCTCACACTGTGTGGACCCCTGGAAGCCCCTCTGAGCATTCCAGGAACTTTCTGTTTCCTTCCATCCGAAATCTCAGGCATTCCTCACAGAGCAGCCTATCCTGGGGCTCCTCGTAAAGTCCTTCTGATAATGCGATTAATACCCGTTTTACTGCACTCTAGTGGCTGCTTACTATTTTTCCTCCATAATGAGCCCTCCACCTCCCACTAAAGAAGGGCGCACTTCTGGCTACCCATTCTGTTAAGCAACAATCCCCAAAACGTGTTGGAGGAGTGGTTGTAGGAACCTCCAAATTGGAGCCACTCCCCCAGCACACAGAACACCAATCACTGAATTCCGGTTGGTGGAAGAAAGGCAGAGTTTATTGTAGAATGCAGAGCAAGAAGCAGGGCAGCTCTCACCTAATTCCTGGACTCCCCAAAGTGTTAGGGATGAAGGCTCATGAGGGCTGAATTTCAAATGACAGGTGCATAGTCAGCACCTGTCCATGTTTCTAGCTGGACAGCAGTGCCCGTGCCCTGCCTTTGATTTGTTGCCATGCCTAAGCCAAGAGTCAAGAGCTTCATTGTGTCTCCCACAGGGGTGAAAGGGGCCCAAACACCTGGGATATCTTCTGCTGCTTTCCCAGGCCCTTAGCAGGGAGCTGGATCAGAAGTGGCACATCCAGGACGTGACCCAGAACCCATATGGGAAGCCCTTGTCGCAGGCGGCTGCTTAACCTCCCCATGCCACAGAGCCGACTTCTAAAGACACTTTTTAATCTGAAGGAGGAAGGCTACGAGACTGGGGCCGGCTGGTGTGTTGCATCTGCATTCAAAACATTGTATAGGGGCTGAATTTCACTTTGATTAATAATAATAATCTTTGGCCCAGTGCCATTGTACAGTTTGTAAACCACCCTACTCCACCAGCAGGGGGAAAGAGTAGAGGAGCGGTTTAACCTGGATTTTAGATTTCACAATCTGTGGTATATCCATCATCAATAAAGGTTTTACCTCTCACCAAAGGCGTCTCTCGTGTCCTGAACTGTGCACTGCTCTGATGGTCTCATTGTGTCTATCCAGATGGGACCCTTGCACTAATTCACATGAAGTACCCTGTGGAGTGACCAAACCTGAGGAAAGTGACCATTTAAGTCGCTCTGGCCATCGTTTGGTAAAATTCATCCCAGTGTGGACATTTAATGAGACCACAGATTTGCACAGATCAGAGTGACACTAACTCTTCACTGAGATGTACTGTAAAATGTGTCAGTTTGGGAGGGAAAGAAAGAAAAGAGGAAGGAAGAGGGGCCAGGGAAGGAGGAAGGGAATCAGAAGCTTAAGTGACTTGTTCAGCTAGCCACATTAGTTTTTCTTCTCGAAGCTAAAACAATGAGGGATAATTATCAGTAGCTTTATATCTTATTTATTACAATGAATTGCTGTGGCAAAAGTGAATGCTTTTCAGCCTGGCCTTTGTCTGTTGCAAAATAGTTTTGCATTTGGATCGCAAAATACTCATCTTATCTTCCCTTAAAAGTCATAGTCTCTTTATAGATAATCAAATTCTATTCATGGAAGCCATTCTTATCTCACCATAATTTCATAATATGCACTGTGCTATGTATGAGGCCTGATTAGATCATGAATAAATGATGTTTTATCCCATGCATTGTTAGAATTAATGAATCATAAATAACTCATTATTGTTTATGTCCAGAATCACAATAGGGCTACATAAATGCTCCTCATCCTTCTGTCCTGTTTCGCTAGTCAGAATTTCTCATTTTTGATAAATCTACCCATCAAATAATTTTTTTCAGATTAATATGACAAACAGCTTTGTCTCTCCTGAGGAATGAATTTATTTTTATTTTACTGTTACTGTGTCTGCTTAAGAATCTTTTTTATTCTATGCTGTATGTTCACTGCTAAGATGTTTAGAGCTAGAGAGTTAAACATTACACGTTGTTTCCTGCATTGCTTTCTAACATATATGCCCTGATTTATATTAATATTTTTAACAGATTTCTTTTTTTTTATTTGACAGAGTTAGACAGTGAGAGAGAGAGACAGAGAGAAAGGTCTTCCTTCTGTTGGTTCACCCCCCAAATGGACACTATGGCCGGAACTACGCCGATCTGAAGCCAGGAGCCAGGTGCTTCCTCCTGGTCTCCCATGAGGGTGCATGCACCCAAGCACTTGGGCCATCCTCCACTGCCTTCCCGGGCCACAGCAGAGAGCTGGTCTGGAAGAGGAGCAACTAGGACTAGAACCCGGTGCCCATATGGGATGCCGGCGCCACAGGCGGAGGATTAGCAAATGAACCACGGCTCCAGCCCCAGTGATTTATATTGATATTTTTACCATTACCCCGATTTTGTTTTATGTTAAAAATGTTTTAAATTACCTTAAATCCTGATTGAAATAAGATAGAAATAAATTGAGGTGCATTCACAATTAGTTTTAATGTTAGGGAAATGAAAATGTACTGAAGTGATAATGTGTACCTTTGAATAAGAGACTAAATAGTGCATTTTCTTAAAAATACCCACAGATGTCCCAAAACCCATACATATTTATATATATAAGCACTGAAGCTATCAAATGTCCATTATTTTAATCTATGGAAATGATGGATTCTGTCTTAATACAGCATTATTTTACAAAAGCCAATTTTGTACTTCCTAATAACAATGACTAGTGGTTTACATATTGATTTAATTTAAAAAGAAATGATATGCCTTCTAAAAGACACAGATTTTTCCTTTTTGTCTCTCTGATGTCTTTCTCTTCCCATCAAATTATTCCCACCAAATTGAGCATTGAGAATGTAACACAAAGGAAATAGTGAGATTCTAGCTCACCTTCCTCTTTCCCTGCATATCGCCTCTACGCAATGCTTATTTTATGTTTATGCTAACCTAAAGGTGCCATTAACTTTTTAAACAATATTATAGTAGTGGGTATTGAGTTAACTGTATTTCTGTCACACTTTGCCAGAATTTAAGACCAGTTTTCCTAAATCAGGTAAAATTTCAAACACAAGCTCTTATAAAAGCTCATTAATATATTCATATAATAAAGGAAAAGCAGCCCTGGTAAGTTGGGAAGTGGGAGTAGTCATTTGCATTTTTTTAAAATCAGTGAATACAAATGATGTCCGTAGTTATATGCTATAGTTGTTTAAAATCAACCGTGCAGACAGGCATGCACCATAGCCACGCCAAAACTTCTGCTTTGCTTGGACTCTTGGAGGCAGAGATACTGGGGCTTGCTTCCCACATAGTCTGCAGGATCGACCATTAAATTAATCAGTCTGTGGTCACTGTGGCTCCATAAAAATCCTGACACAGGCTATTAGTAAGTGATATCTTAGGGTAGTAGTGGTGGAATCTTGGGAAGATTCCTCGGCCTATGTCCAGGTGTGACTATTACACGTCGGACCAAGAGAAAAACTACCTGCAGTAACTTGTAGGAATACAACACGCAACCATAATTTCTTCCACTGGCCTAGGAATTGTTCCTTAAGATATGTGGCTGAAATTTTTCTGCAAATTAAAATATGGATGTCTTTGTCCCTTGGGGCTGCTACAACAAAAATTAGCACAGGCTCAGTGGCTTATAAACAACAGAAATTCATTTCCCCCACTTCTAGAGATTGAGATCTACAAGGAGTTGGCAGGCTCAGTTAGTGTTGAGAGGGGTCCCTTCCTGCCTCATGAATGGCTGTCTTCTCACTGTAACTTTCAATGGTAAAAGGGACAAGGAATCTCTCTGACATACATTGAATACGGATGCTGATTTCAGTTCCACCCTCAAAATGTGCAGGTCTCCCCTTCAAACAGCATCGCACTGGGTATGGAATTTCAACATAAGAGTTAGGGAGGAACGTAAACATTCAGTCTGCAGCAGTGGCTGTTGGGAACATGCTGTTGACTGTAGCAACTTTCTAGATGAAGACATTCATGATGAGAAGAGAATTAGGAAGATGTGTTGGGGAAGGATAGATTATATATTGAAACCAAATTTCTTCTACTAACCTGGTGTTTCCAAAGCTCTGGCAAGCATTAGAAGCTCCTGGAGGTCTTATTAAACCCCAATAGGGGGTGGTGTGGTAGCGCAGTAACACCTGCACCTCATATCAGAGTGCCTGGTTCAAGTTCTGGCTCCTTGGCTTTCTATCCCGCTTCCTTCTGATGTGTATCCTGGGAAGAAAGGACTGAAACCCAAAGGGAGTTCTGGTCTCTCTTTGCCCACCCATGCCCCTCTCTTCCCTGCCTTTCAAATAAAATTAATAAATAAATAAAATATTGTTAAAAACAAGACTGCTGGACTCTACACCCAGAAGTATTATTTTTTGTAAACGTTTAAAGGTTGATTGGCTTATGTATTTGAAAATCAGAGAAAGGTTAATTCTTCATCTGCTTGTTCACGCTTCACATGGCCACCACAGCCAGATCTGGGCCAGGCTGAAGTCAGGAGTTGGAAATGCCACCCTACTCCCATGTAGGTAACAGGGGCCTGTGTACTTGGATCATATTTTTCTGCTTTTCTAGGCCCATTATCAAGCAGCTGGTACAGAAGTGGAGCAGCCAGGACTTGAACTGTCACTCCAATAGGCGTTGCCACTATCTAAAGTGGTAGCTTAACCTGCTGGGCCAAAATGCTGACCCTCATCCCCAGAATTTCTGACTTACTCTATCTGTGACCCGGCCTGACAGTATGTATTTCTCATAAGCTCTGCAGGGGTGCTACTGCTGCCACTCTGGGGGATCCACATTTCAGAACTACCAGACTAACCCAGCACCTCATATCTCACAGTGGCTGCTCCACTTGCTAACTGTGTGCACCTGTTTCTGGAGCTTTAACCAGTGCAAATCAGAAAGTCTCTCCAGAATTAATGTTCAGGACTTATTATGCCTTGAAGATGTCTTCAGATTCACCTTTGAATAGTATCAAATATCTCTTGGCCAGTCCAGGCCCTTCTTTCTAAGGTTTTCATAGGTAATGTTGTAGAAATAAGTATTCCACAGACAAAAGAGCTTAAGAAAATGTCTCCTTTCAACTCACTAAATTAATGTTCCATAGAACATACTTTAGGAAACTTTAGACTAAACTAGCAGTATGACTGTGTAAATGTTTCAATTCACCAGTTTTTTAAACTTTTATTTGACATAGAATTCTTTTTCCAAATGAAATTTTGCCCAGAACACCAGCCTATAAAACAAGTTCCTGGCAGAGCAGACAGCATTTGTAGAATATGTGAAACACCTGGAGAATCCTAATATTCCAGAGGGCACAGCCTGAAACCCCATTTAATGCATAATAAACATAGACTCTTACGATGGATGTTACTGCTGGAAGGTACCTTTCAGGCCTAATCTATGACCCTTGTCCCTGTATCAGTTCTCCATTCCTCCTTTTAAAAAATGAGCACAGGAGAACAGGGTAGAAATGCAAGGCAGGTGCATTTTCAGAGATCTCATCACTGATGGTATTTCCCTATGCAGTATTTTAAAGCTGACCCTGACTGTCTCATCTGCAAGGCAGAGCGTCTGTTTTCAATTTCCAGGGGTTCTGCTCCATGTCATGTTTTTCTTTCTTTTTTTTTTTTTTTTACCTGTTCCCTAAAGAGGTTTAACTCACTTCTTTATTTGTCTTTCTGCCTTTTGAGGTTAGCATATTAATCACCATATCCCCAGAAGAAATATAAACTGGACAGGCATGGCAACATTTCCCTGTGTGTTTCCAAGCACTGTGTTAACCTCTTCTCTCTTTCCCAGCAGGAACACCCCTGGCAAATTGCACTTCATTTGGGGCTGGCGGTGAAGAGCAGATGTTGAATGCCATTGTTGCGTGTGGCATGTTTGTTTACTAATTTACAAAATTTGTTTTACCCCCTGCAGCTGTAAATGAAAAAGCTGTAAAGCTGAATGAAACTTTAGGAACTCAAGACAAGGCCTTTGAGAGAAATTTGCAAGAGCTTCAGAAAGAGATTGATCAGATGATGAAAGAACTGAGGAGGAAAAATCTAGACACCCAAAAGGAAGCTGCTGAGGATGAGCTGGTGTGAGTACAAGCCCTGCGATGCTTTCGGCTGATAAACTGAGCTGGTCTCTGGTCTCCTGAATCTCCATCACACGTAGGAGCAGGAGAAACTACGTTTTTCTGACTTGGAAATGTTTGCTGCATATTTATCCTTTCATGTGCTTCCTTATTTAATGCTGTGCCTTGCCATTAAATGAATTTAAGCATGTTTTCACCTATTTAAATAATCAAGTAAGTGATCCTTTTGATAAATCAGCCAATGGGTTTGCTTTACTCATTGTCTATATTAGGGACTTTTAAACTACCAATGTCTTTTAGTTTTAATAAAAGTACTTTTGGCTAAAGTTATGACCTTCTCAAGTCATCCCATACATTTTTTTCATCTTACAAAATGCTGAGCAATCATCAAGTAAAAAAAATATCGTATTTTGAAATAAATATTGGGAATCTGAGGATTGGAAAAGGTAATAGTGATTTTATTAATGCCAGTGAAACTTTTATGATCACATGCTCAATAAAACAGACACATTTTTACATTTTTAACTGTTATAATGTTCTTAGTAATAGTTAAGTAATATAACACAACAGAACCTGGGAACTTCTTTTTTATTTATTTGAAAGGAAGAGTGACAGAAACAGAAAGAAATCTTCTAGCTGCTAGGACACGCCCCCAGTGGCCACACAGCTGTGAGTGACCAGGCCAAAGCCAGGAGCCAGGAACTCCATCCAGGTCTCCCATGGGGTGGCAGGGGCCCAAGTACTGGAGTCATCTAATATGCTTCCCCAGGCATATTAGCAAGGAGCAGGATTAAAAGTGGAACAGCCGGGACTCAAACCATCATTGTAATAATGGATGCCTGCGCCGGCGCCGTGGCTCAATAGGCTAATCCTCCACCTTGCGGCGCCGGCACACCGGGTTCTAGTCCCGGTCGGGGCGCCGGATTCTGTCCCGGTTGCCCCTCTTCCAGGCCAGCTCTCTGCTATGGTCAGGGAGTGCAGTGGAGGATGGCCCAGGTGCTTGGGCCCTGCACCCCATGGGAGACCAGGAAAAGCACCTGGATCCTGGCTCCTGCCATCGGATCAGCGCGGTGCGCCGGCTGCAGCGGCGGCCATTGGAGGGTGAACCAACGGCAAAGGAAGACCTTTCTCTCTCTGTCTCTCTCTCTCACTGTCCACTCTGCCTGTCAAAAAAAAAAAAAAAAAAAAAAAAAGTAATGGATGCCTGCGTCACAGGCAGTGACTTAATCTGCTGTGCCATAGCCCCAGCTTCATACTGAAACTTTCAGAAATAAGATTATTAGGTCCCCTCCTGGATCTACTGAAAGAGGAACCTAGCACACTGTATTAAGAGGCCCCTCAGGGGACAAGGATGCATGTTAGCTAGAATCTCACATCTTTTCAAGTATTTGGCCCTTGTTAACAGCTGATATAATTTTACATTAGGAAATATAGATATGTTAAACTCAAGAAACCCCCAGATAACTCAGATGGAAGAAAAACAAAAGTAGATCAAAATCATAACATTTCACTAGCGCAGCAATAACACAGAATTCTGCTCACAGTTTCGAAGCAAATATACCAATATTCTCCTCTCCCATTCAAAGTTGTAGAGGAAGTGTATCAAGATGGTGAAGCAGGTGGCTTTTCTTTGTTTTGGTTTGTGGGATGAATCATAAGACACATCTCATCAGTCAGATAACGAGAATGACACGAAACCCTTCCCAATTGAAAGGGTTCTCTTACTAAAACAAATTAAAGGTGAGGTTTCATTTATTTCTGCCTTAATTTTAATTGTAAATGATCTTGCCACTTGCAGGAACCAGTTTTCAGTTTCAGTTAGTACATAGTGACTATGCCTGATTTGTTATGTTTCATTCTTTGTGTATTGGCATCCTTTTACAAAGCAATTTCTTACCCACAGTCGGAGGCAGTGACATGGGCTCATGGTCTGTTTTTGGGTGATTGCAGAGCTGCAGAAGGTCTCCTGCAGAAAGTAAACAAGCTGTTGGCAGAGTCCAGGGGGAAAAACGAAGAGATGGAGAAGAACCTCCGGGAAAAACTGGCTGACTACAAAAACAAAGTTGATGACGCTTGGGCTCTGTTGGCAGAAGCTACAAACAAAATCAGAGAAGCTGATCGCTTATCTGCTGCAAACCAGAAAAACATGACTGCTTTGGAGGTGAGTTCTGGAGGCACTTTCCACACAATCTTGGGAGTGGTGGTCAGGGGCAGTGTGGAGTGCGGCTGTACTGATCAAGTTCACGCACAGTTACCAAGGTCAAGGATGGAAACTCAGGAAACTTCTAAGAAGCAGAACAAAGAATAATCACTTTTGGGGGGGTGATGGAGGTTCTCTAATGACCATGGTCCATAGGATCATATAAAACTCAAGTTAACTTAAAGCAATGAAGATTTTTAAGGAAAGTATTCTTCAATGGGAAAGAGCCCTATGCTGGGAGTCAGGGGACTTTGGTTTCAATGACGACTGTGCCACTAACTAGGATTACCGGCTGTGCAAGTCAGTGGTGTTTCTAAACATGGATTCCCCTGCTCTGCAGTGAGTGCCTCATGCTAGCACATATCTTGGACATCTTTCAAAACTGACATGTGGTTTTTCAGTTCATCTAGCCTAAATCACAAATGTGGTTCATAATCTGGTTGCTAAAAACTATTAAAGTTCTCTCCATGTTCTAGTGGCACCTGAGCACTTGAGAAATATGGGGAAAATTTTGACCCCCACCTTTTTTTGCAATTTGCCCTATGTAGATGGCATTTTATTTTTTTATTTAAATATTTATTTATTTATTTATTTATTACTTACTTACTTGTTTATTTGAAAGGCAGAGTTACAGACAGGTAGAGACAGAGAAGTCTTCCATCTGCTGGTTCACTCCCCAGACGGCTGCAATGATTTGGCCCAAGAACTTGAGCCATCCTCTAATGCTTTCCCAGAGCATAACAGAGAGCTGGATCGGAAGTGGAGCAGCCTGGACTCCAACAGGTGCCCACATGGGATGCAGGCACTGCAGGTGGCTGCTTCACTTGCTACTCCACAGCGCCAGTCCTGTAGATGGCAGTATAAAAGGGATTAATGATCAAGTCTGGGTTATCTTCGCCTGCTTTCCCTCACAGCCAAGAGGGACCTCACTCATCAAAAAATTACAGGCAGGCCGGCGCCGTGGCTCACTAGGCTAATCCTCCGCCTTGCGGCGCCGGCACACCGGGTTCTAGTCCCGGTTGGGGCGCCGGATTCTGTCCCGGTTGCCCCTCTTCCAGGCCAGCCCTCTGCTGTGGCCAGGGAGTGCAGTGGAGGATGGCCCAGGTGCTTGGGCCCTGCACCCACATGGGAGACCAGGAAAAGCACCTGGCTCCTGGCTCCTGCCATCGGATCAGCGCGGTGCGCCGGCTGCAGCGCGCCGGCCGCGGCGGCCATTGGAGGGTGAATCAGCGGCAAAGGAAGACCTTTCTCTCTGTCTCTCTCTCTCACTGTCCACTCTGCCTGTCAAAAAAAAAAGAAAATACAAGAGATTACAGGCAGGGCAGGTGTGTAGTGCAGCCATTGAGGTGCCTGTGTCCCATACTGGAGCACCTGGGTTTCAGTCTGGGCTCTGCTCCCAGTTCCAGCTTCCCGCTAATGCCCATCCTGGGAAGCAGCAGGAGATAGTGTCCCTGCCATACGGGGAGGGAACCAGCAGATAGGAAGTCTCTCTTTCTCTCTCTGCCTCTCAAAATACATTTTTAAAAGAAGGAAATTTTGCAATACGGGTAGTGTCTACCTTTCTCAGAGTCTGGAACAAAAACACATTCCTCGCTCATTTTTGCTTTTTTTTCCAGTTTCTTTCTTAATCTTAACATGGTTAAGTGATCTCTATTCTCTGAGTAAATTCAGCACATGTGACAGCACACACCTGGATTTGGCATTGGAGGAGCTTTCTCCCCGGAGACTAACCTATCTTTGCTTTTTTTCAAAGTATCTGACTCCAGCAGGTATGAAAAGAACAGCAAACCTATATCTCCTCTAACATACAATTTCACCTTCAGCCATAACTCAACATTTCCTGGCATCTAGCATGCTCTCAAAAATGTTTGTTGAATGATAACGACAGTTGAACAGAAAGCAGGATTTTTTTTATTCGCTCATTTCTTTCTATTTTCCTTTGGATTAAGCAGTAAGAGGTTGAGTACAATGTGGTTTCTTTTAAATTCTGGGTCCCTCTCCTGGGCTTTAGCCTTGCCGTTCTGGTAAAAGCCTGAGAAAGCTCACTTTTGTCCTAAACTGATGTGTCTAATCTTAACCAATTTGGAGCCTGCTGACACGCTGGCAGTATTCAAGAAAAAGCACCATCTTGAGAGGCAGGAGCTGGGCTGCTGTCCCATCACGGGCTCCGGCGTGAATCACCCTCCTCCCCACCAGTGGCCTAACTTACCCGCAGGTGCACCTCTCCATTTTATGGCAATGGTTTAAGAAATTAAAATTACCTGTGTGGAAAGCATAATAAGCATTTGGGAAGTATTTCACAAAGAGTTATAGTGGCCCAGTAAATGGTGCTTCCAGCCATTTCTTCTTTTTACTGATGTTTGAAACCAAGAGCCATCATTCTTGGGTACCCCTTGAGGTGCCTGACGCTTATGTAGCCAGCCCTGAAAGTTCTAAGTGGGGCATTTGTATTTTCATTTTATATGCCAGGCTTGTCTGAAAAACTTACTGCATAAAATAAACTAACTGATATAACATGAACAAGGCACAGATTTTTAAGATGGCTTAGGTGCACTTAAGGTTGGTTTCAGCCTACCTGTTTGTTCAATAGATTCCATGTGCTCCCTGTATTCGAAGACTCTCATTGGGTTAATTGATACCTGTACAAGTTTGAGAACAACTGATGTATTTTATGATTTTGATTGAATAGTGAACATTTTCTTTTTTTGTTTTTAAAGATTTCTTCATTTTACTTTGAGAGGCAGAGTTACAGAGAAGGAGAGGCAGAAAAAGAGAATCTTCCATCTGTTGGTTTACTCCACAAATGGCTGCAATAGCTGGAGCTGGGCCAATCAAAAGGCAGGAGCCAGGAGCTTCTTCCAGGTCCCCCATATGGGTGCAAGGGCCCAAAGACTTGGGCTGTCTTCCACTACTTTCCCAGGCACATTTAGCAGGGAGGTGGTTCAGAAGTGGAGCGCTGGGATTTGAACCAGCGCCCATATGAGATGCTGGCACTGCAGGCAGTGGATTAATCCCCAGGGCCACAGTGCTGGCCCCAAATAGTGAACATTTTCTAAAGTAAATAACTCCATGGTGCCCGTGTCCACAAAGAAGATGATGTGATGAATTCCCAACTAAAATGTGATTTTTGTTTATTTTAAGAATGTAATCATGTAATTTTTATTAAGAATACTACACTCAGGGTGGGTGTTTACTGCAACTGGTGAGTCACTGCTTGTTATGCCCTCATCTCATATTAGTGCCCTGTTCAAGTCCCAGCTACTCCACTTCCAATCCAACTTCCTGCTAATGCAGATTTTGAGAGTCAGCAGATTATGGCTCAAGTATTTTGGTCCCTCCCTGCCACCCAAGTGGGAGACCTAGACTGAGTTCCCAGCTCCTGGCTTTGGCCTGGCCCACTCCTAGCATATGGAGAGTGAACCAGCAGATTGAAGATCTCCCTCCTTCAGTTTCTCCATTTCTCCCTCTCCCTCTCCCACCACCTCGCTCCTTCCCTTTCAAATAAAATGAAAGTAATTAATTTAATATACCTACATTCAGGAAGTCTGCTAAACATAAAAATGATTGCATCAAACTTGTGCACATTATGTGCTCCTTGGTACAAGTGCATCAGCATTGTCTTAAAACTCATTAAAAAAGCAAATTCTCAGGTCCAAGTCTATTAAGTCAGAAACTCTGAGAGTGAGGCCCAGCAACCTGTATTTTAAAAATCCCACCAGTAATTCAGGTATATGTTTGACCTGAATACAGGTCAGCACATGTACTTCAGTTCAGGTATACTTATACATGAATAGTTATACCTGAATTCAGGGAAAAAAAGGAATCATTCCATTGATTCAGGTATGCATTTGATAGCCATTGATAGAAAGGAAAAAAACACCATATCCTATGGCTTCAAGTAACTTGTGTTTAGTTAGAAGTGCAAACACACACCAAAAAAAACACTCTAGGCTATAGGAATTAGCATGGAGGAATGTAAAATAGGGCCTCTAAATATTTCCCTGGACTTCGGGAGGGCTTCACAGAAGCCCTGACACCTGTGCTAAGCATTGTAGAGGAGGCACTAATTAGTAGAAATAAAAGGGGAAGAACGTTCCAGATGAAAATCATATGCAAGAACATGGAGAAAAGAAGATAAGACACCTTAGAGAAAAACGCAGTGGATGGCCATTTTCGGAATGAAGACTGTATGTGAATGACCAGACGGAGAAAAAACCCAAGAGAGGGTCCGCATCTTGTGTTTCAACAGAATTGCATTGTGAGACTGAGATAAGGAATTTGGTTTTTCCCCTGAGAACTATATGAAGCAATTGAAATCTTGGAGTAGTGGATTAAAATCCATATTTGTGGGAATTCGCGAATGTTTTGTGTATTCTGGAGGCTTGGTTCTGTCTTGGAAACTAGTGTTACCAGGCTTGGAAGTGGGTGTGATGACGTGAATGTCGATCAGGCATCTCCCCTATCAAGGTTGGCCACCAGGTGTTTAAGGCTGAATAGGAATGGTGCGTGGCCTCACAGAATTTACAGTATCCCTCAAACTCCAAACATTTTAAACTTTCACTGTATGCAAAACTGAGATATGTAGTGCCTAGGAGATTCAGTTCAACAAAATCACAAAAATGACCACATCAGACCAGAAACTGGGAGAAATTGACAAAAGGGGATCACACCATAGGGACAAAGGCAGAGCTGTGAATATTTTCAGGGATCTAGGACAGATCAGATGGGCCAGCCACACGGTTTCAGAAGCCTCACAAGTCTGCAGCAGAAGAGGGCTCCAGAAATGGCACTTGGAATCAGATCATAGAAGGTTTTGAATGTGGCTTATTGGAAGGTGGTGGGATTAAAAGGGCATTTTAAGCACTGAAGAGAAATCAGAAGGGAATCAGGGGTCTGATGGACAGAAGAACTGGAGATGAGCAATTCAATGAAACAAAGGATATGTATAAAATCGTCTGTCCCAACGTCTACCATTTGACCTTGCCAAACAAAGGATTTAAGAAAGTAGAATGGCCGGTGCTGTGGCTCACTTGGTTAATCCTCCGCCTGCAGTGCCGGCATCCCATATGGGCACCGGGTTCTAGTCCCAGTTGCTCCTCTTCCAGTCCAGCTCTCTGCTGTGGCCCAAGTGCTTGGGCTCCTGCACCCGCATGGAGACCAGGAAGAAGCATCTGGCTCCTGGCTTCAGATCGATGCAGCTCCTACCGTGGAGGCCATTTGGGGAGTGAACCAAAGGAAGGAAGACCTACCTCTCTCTCTCTCAATCTCTCTCTCTCTCTCTCACTGTCTATAACTCTACCTGTCAAATAAATTTAAAAAAAAAAAAAGGAAAAAAAAAGAAAGCAGAGCAAGCTGCTACATACAGGATACACAGGAAGCCTGCTATTGCACCTGCCTGAAGAATTTAGTCCACCATCTCCCTAGACACCCATCAAACAGAAAGAAAAAGATGTCCAAATTGAAGAGCTTGGGCATGCATTAAGACCAAATTACAAGTAAAACGTACAAATGTAGTCAGTTTTGATATCCAAACAGAACGATTTAGCCACTGTGGTTTCAATGTATTTTGAAGAATGAGTGTCTCTATGCAGTGGCCTTCCTTTTTGTCCCTTAAATGGTTTAAGAGTCCTGTCCCAGATATTTTGTATTCTACAACATTGTGCATCCACTCCCTCTCTTTATTTTTGTAGTACTCATGTCATCAACACTTAAAAATACATGACACAGTCGTTCACTATTCATTTTTTCCCTTCTCCAAACAAGCCAAGAGGAGCAGATCTTCTTCCAGTCTATATCCCCAGAGCTTACAGCAGTATCTGCCACAAAGGGAAAACGGATTTTTCCCCCAATAAATGAAGGATAGTGAGGATTCTTGGGGTACTAGTTTTTGCTCTTAATTTGGTGTTGGTTATCCGTGAGTTCACAGGACAAAAAGCTCTTTATCTGTGCATGTATGTGTACTTCTTGATATGTACACTGTATTTAAATAAAACGCTTAATTAAAAGAAAGTATCATAAAGTTAATATAATGTTATTTCTATACTTTTGTCCATATTTGATAGCTTCAGATCTCCTCTTCCCTTGTCTCAAAGCTAGGTTCCATCAACATCAATCCAAAAATTAGTCACCTCTAAAATCCCTTTAGTCTTTCAATCATCATTTCTGTTTTAGTATGATAAAGAGCAGTTTTGATCTTTGCATGACAATTGGCTCCTTAAAGTGACTTCCTTAGAACTTTACAAAAGATTCTCATTAGTTTCTTGAAGCAGAAATGGATGTAGGTCTTCACTTAACATGCATGTTCTCCTCTCTTCCATTGGTGCCACATTTTAAATTATCTTGATTCATTAATAAAAAAAAGCCACATTACAGGAAATAATTTTGGAATTCCTTACGTGGTATAACTTTAAATCAGTTCATATAAAAACTAAGGGCTGAAATTGGCAGTTATGAAAGCTATGATCCTTGAAATCAGGGATTTGGGGACAGTCCCTCTAATTGTTGTCTGTGCAGAAGAAGTGGCATATCAGAACTTGCCCTGAATTAGCTAGTTATGGGAGTAGCTGTTTAAGCCAAGTGGCACCAGCACAAGTCCCAAGAATGGACCTCATTCTTGTTTCTTCATTCTTCTAGGAAGCTGTACTAGGTATTAGAGGTACAGTGATACGAAGTACAGCTTTTATGTTGTAGTGAGGATGATAGTCACTAAACCCATAAATGAGTTTTTAATATGGCCATAGAGTCTGGGAGCAATCATATATAATAAATGGTTTATTGATATTTGAATATAGCTCATAACCTGTTCCATAATGTTGTGTGATATAGCGAATTGTTGTCTTTTGTCAATAATGTACAGTTCAGTAGGCTGTACTTCTTCACCAGTCCCTCTGTACATGCACCTGTAATATATTAGTGTCTCTGATGTTCATTAAATAACCTGAATTTTTATTCAGTCCTATAAGAAACAATAGAAATGGCTCAATCTACACCAAAAAATAAAACAATTTTATCTGTGTTTCTATAGTTCATAGCCACCCTATAGGATATAATTCATATAAATGAGTCCTAGGAAGAAAAACAAAACTATATTTATAATAGTTGACAAAATTCTACAGTGTTATGGTATGCTAGGCAGTGTTCAAAGCCAGTTTTTATAATTCAGTATAATTTTATTCTGTATATCAATCATGTGGATTCTTATTAAAATGCAGATTCCGAGTCACCAGCTCTGGAGAAGAGGTTGAAACTATGCATTTCTAACAGGCTTCCAGGTGAAGCTGGTGAATGGGTCAAACTCTGAATTGTGAGAAATAAAACTTTTTTTTTACATGAGGTTACATAATTTTCACAATATTTCATTACTTGTGATTGGGCAGAACTGGAATTTCATCATAGGAAGGCCTATCAGCTGAACATAGCCTTTTTTTAAAAGAAACCTTTTACTTAATGAGTACAAATTTCATAAGTACAACTTTAGGAATATGGTGATTCTTCCCACCATACCCACCCTCCCTCTCCCATTCCCAGTCCCATTCTCCATTAAGATTCATTTTCAATTAACTTTATACACAGAAGACCAACTCTCTACTAAGTAAAGATTTTAGCAATTTGCACACACACACACACAATATAAAAAACTGCTTGAGAACAAGTTTTATAGTTAATTCTCATAGTACAACTCATTAGAACAGAGGTCCTGCATAGGGAGTAAGTGCACAGTGACTCTTGTTATTAATTTAACAATTAACTCTCTGGACATAGCTATAACATAGTGGACAGATAGGAACAGGATGGGTGGTAGGTTGTCAGACAAGTGACTAGCAGAGCAAACAGGCATAGGAAGCAAAATGCAGACCTGGGGGAACTGCTCACAGGCAGGGACCTGAGGAATATACCTGGCAACATAGTGAAGTAATTGGTAAAAGAGGTCAGGAAAGCAGGAAATTAGCACTGTGCCAGTCCAAATAAGACCTGTGATTTCTGTAATAGCTGAGACAGGACTTTTTTAGCCAGGTCCCAGGATGTGTCCTTAGGTAGATAAACGGGCAAATCTCCAAGTACACTCTACTATGTGACGTTAGGTAAATCACCAATGGCTTAGCTCGTTTGGGCTTCTATAACAAAATAGTAAAAACCAGGTGGCTTATAAACAACAGAAATGTGTTTCTCACTATTCCTGAGGCTGGGAAATTCAGACCAATGTGCAGGTAGATGTGGTGTCCTGTGAGGGGTCACTTGCTGGTTCACAGGCACCATCTTTGTGTACCCACATGGTGGAAGGGTGAATTAACTCCCTCAAGTCTCTTTTAGAAGGGCCCCATTCTTGAGGGTAAGGGCTCCCAAAGCATTCCCCTTCTTAATCTTATCACCTTGAGAGTGAAGATTCCAACTAACAAATTGGAGAGTAGGTGGCATTTCAGACCACTGAATTAACTTGCTCAATTTCTAGTTATTTAAAAGTTTATACACTCAGGACCCATAGCATTGTTTGAATTAAGTAAGAAAATCTTATAAACTGCCCAGACCTAGATTAATATAAACTAGCAATATCATTCATATAAGACGGCCAAAACGTAAAATTATAATTGATGCATTTAAGCGCACAGGTAAAATGGTGTTTGGAAGAATATGAATTAGATAAAAGTGTAAAGGAAAAAAGTAGGCAAGGTACGCTCCAGGTGCAGAAATAGCTGTATCTCTCTCTTGTTGATTTTGCTCTTCTAGGCCAGGAATGAGTTGCTTGTAGTTTTGAGACAAGCTATAATTTCCAAAGACAAATTCAACTCTGCTCCCATCTGAAGAAACAGTCTATTGGGTTTATTCTTGCATGCCATAGTTTTTCTTAAACAGTACTTTGCCTAAATTCTCTTAAAAATCCCACTTCTTTGATTTTCCTAGAACTCCTGTAGGATACGTCTTCTTATGTTTATATTCACAAAGCATTCATTTGTGTACAGATTCAATATACAGTTCCACTGTAATTCAGCAACTTCAACCTGCTCCGAAGTACATATTCAGCTCTGAAATTTTAGTTACAAATGGATGTTCCTTGTTGCCTTAAGTATAAGTTCCATTCCTCACCTACTACCCCAGGACTTTTCTTCACTGAGATGACATTTTCACAATGGGAAGGAGAAAATGCCTGTGCAGGTCTCTAAATAGAGTAACTTTGGGAAACTGGCTGAGCACTTTGTATCATTCTCTTCTAGCCACACTGTCAACACACAGTAACTTGCATGGGAAATTGTGTTCAGGCAGCTCAGGAAAGTCAAGAATACAGAGCTGGACAGGGCTTTCCCCAAATGACTTTTTGATGTATCATCCTTACTGAATTACAGAAGAAGAAGGAGGCTGTTGAAAGTGGCAAACGACAAATTGAGAACACTTTGAAAGAGGGGAATGACATCCTCGTTGAAGCCAACCGTCTTGCAGATGAAATCAGCTCGGTCATAGATGTGAGTATTTGATAAAACCTTAAGTTAAAACAGGCCATTATGGCATAGGCTCTCATAAAGGGGAAATCAATGAAAACTCAGTAACACAAGCAAATATTAATTTTTTATGGATGGGGAATTAGTGTGGCCTTATTCTATTGTGACCATGTTTGCCTGTTGAAAGCCATTAGAACATCCCATCACATTGTTCACCCGGTAGGCATGAATGCCTTTGTGAGGATACTCACAAACTCACATAAACCAGTGCTTTTCTAATAGTGATAAAGGACATGTTTTGTTCCTAAAACTGCATTTACAATTCAGTATTCATATAACAGTAGTCAGAAGAGAAATGTAAGTCTATGAACACTTTTAACATACTGTCTAGTGCATTGCACAGAGTGATATATGGTAAAAAAAAAATGCAAATGCTCTAAGATCCTAATGACTATCATTTGTACATTTATTCCAAGGAAGCAACAATTAAAAAAAAATAAGTTCTTCTTGGTGTGAATTGGCTTCATAAAGCTCCTAATCTCATTCATTAAGTAATGGATTTTATTCTCTGTTCTCTTTTTTTCCATGCTAATAAATTTGAAATTTCATAAAACACTAAGTATGTGTAATTATGTCTCACAGAGAAATTAGTAAATTAGAAGAGGCCTGGATTCAATTGCTTAAAATGCCCTCTCTTCTTTATATATCAGTATGTTGAAGACATTCAAACAAAATTACCATCGATGTCTGAGGAGCTTAAAGATAAAATAGATGGCCTCTCCCAAGAAATAAAGGACAGGAAGCTTGCTGAGAAAGTGTCCCAGGCTGAGAGCCACGCGGCACAGTTGAATGACTCATCTGCCATCCTTGATGGGTATGTCATTTGTTGTTGGAAATGTCTGTGTGTCTTGCTACTTGTCCCAAAGTTTTCCCGGGCAGAAATGTCGGGAATCACTTTCAGATCTTGATTGTAATTATGAACATACGCGCTACATGGCTTCTCTGTAAAAGAGCCTAATTAGAGGGTCTCGGAAAAGCTCTACTGGAGAAGAATCAAAAGTCCCAGTTAAAATTGGATTCAAATATGGCTTGGTAGGAAATGAACATATCCTTAGGCTACACTTAGAAAAAATTATTTTCTGTTCTTCATTGGAAAGCACAGTTGTTGCCTTATTAGCATTTTAAATAATAATATATAAGCATATAGTCGATTTCAAATTTCAGTTATATATTTCTAATGGAATAAAAAAATTATTGTTAAAAGGCTAACTTTTCATAATATGGCCCCATGCACAGTTTAAATTCTTTTGGCCATTTCAAACTCTGGGAAGGTACTACATTCTCCCCTTCAATAACAGCATGCTGTAACTGGGATTGTTACATGGGTTGAAAGAGAAGCAGGAGGGAAATGTGTGTTTGACCTGTAAATAGCCTTGTAAGTATGACTACTATGCTTCCCCTATAGTTTTGTGGTCATCATATCACAAACAGCTGCTATTAGTTCTAAGCATAATTTTCCCAAATAAATCTATGTTTAATATATTCTACATGCAAAGCTATGTCTCTCTATTTAATACTCATTGATACAAAGGAAATATTCATGTCTAAATACCCTTGCTACATGCACAGTTCATTTTATAATGAAATTTTGCAAATTTAGAGTGAAGGGTGGTGAATAGGGTAGTTAGCTAGGAATCCACAGATCCAGGCTCCAAGTCCTTAATTAGGGATGTGTTGATCATGTGACCTGAAACAAGCCACTCCTCTCCCCCAGAGAGATTCTATGAAATTCATTCCAGTAATGTGGTACAAGTGCTCTGAAACCCTTAGTATATTTGAGGGATATTGCGAAGGATTGTCTCACTGCATGTTCTTGCTTGCTACATGTGATTGCAGAGGCTTTGGAGGATGCTATGGGCATTTAAGATATGCTGCTAGAATGTTCTAGATGAGTTATTTAGGAATGCAGATTTGAGTTCCAAATCACAGCACAATACAGTAAAGTAGATATCTCACTAGACTTTGGAGTTATCACAGTCATGTTGGCCATGGTCGTTTGGATAGCCGTATTTGTTACAACTAAGACTTTTTTCCTTTGAGTGATAATTGCCCTGATGTCCTCCTTTTTGGGTCATCCCAACAGAATCCTTGATGAGGCTAAAAACATCTCCTTCAATGCCACTGCTGCCTTCAAAGCTTACAGCAATATCAAGGACTATATTGATGAGGCTGAGAAAGTTGCCAAAGAAGCCAAAGATCTTGCACAGGAAGCTACAGCGCTGGTAAGGAACAAATCACATATTGTGCTGAGAACAGAGGTCAGCCTTTATGAGCAAGTTGTTAGCTTAAAATTGTCAGATATAAGTGAGCTGCGGAAAATCCTAGTAAATCAGAATAGTTGTGTTGAGTTATTTTTGAAGGCCTCTTTTGCATGTAATCAAAAGTAAATTCTAAATATTCTATAATCACGGCTGAACTCTATTCTCAGTCACATGCCATTTACATTGTAAGGTTCTTAAAATTAAGGCAGATACCAAGCAGGTTTGTGCCCCCAACTCACAAGATAAGCACAGTCATGTAGGACCTGCTGCGCATGGAAATATGCCCATCATTATTCCAAAAGTCTTTCTTTCCTCTCTGGATCACTTGCAATATTCACACCCTTGATGATACAAGGGGACTTCAAAA